GCTGGTCCTCACAGAAGGTGTGCTGATCACGAGGCTGCTGTTCCTTGCCTTGGATGGGAGCTGGCCACACGCTGCTGTTGTTCCTCTGATGTGGTGGGCTGCTTGTGGGGCTACTGCTCCTTGGACATGGGCTGGTTCATTGTGAGGCTGCTGCTCCTCGGAAGGGGGGTCGGCTGCTTGCGTGGCTGCTGCTCTTCAGACAGGAGTGAGCTGCATGCGTGGTTGCTCCTCCTCGGATGGGGCCACTCACCCAGCTGCTGCTTGTCAGACAGGTGTAGGCTGTGTATGGCTCTGTTCCTTGGACCGGTGCGTGTTGTGCAGGGCTGCTGCTCCTCAGACATGGGAAGTCTGTTCGTGTGGCTGCTGCTCCTCAGACTGGGGTGGGCTGCTGCTGCTCTTTGAATGGGGACGGGCTGCTTGCAGAACTGCTGCGCCTCAGATGGGGGCTGGATGCTCACCAAACTGCTGCTCCTCGGATTGGGCATGCTTCTCATGTGGCTGCTTCTGCTTGGACGAGGGCAAGATGCTTGCGCAGCTGCTGCTCCTCGGACTGGTGCAGGGTGCAGACTGTGCGCAGCTGCTGCTCCTTAGATGGAGTTGGGCTGTGCAGGGCTGCCACTCCTCAGACGTAGGCAGACTGCTCATGCAGCTGTTGCTCCTTGGACGGGTTGGGCTGCTCGTGTGGTTGCTGCTCCTCGGATGGGGGAGCGGGCTGCTCACACGGCTGCTGCTCCTTGGACAGGGGCAGGCCACATGAGGCTGCTGCTCTTAGGCTTGGGGCAGGCTGCTTGCAGGGTTGATGCTCCTTGGACGCGAGCATGCTGCTCATGTGTCTGCTGCTCACGTAATTGTAGTGTCCTGGACTAAAGCGTTGGGCTGGTCGGAGGGGAGCATGCTTCAGAACTCACAGGAACCTGCGCCTGGGGTGGCTGGAGACTCGGTGACCGTGGGACCACAGCCAAGGTATCAGGTCCCTGGCAGGGGTGTCTGTAGAGTCCCAGGTATTACCTGAGGGCACCTTGGGTAGAGGTGAGGCTGGGCTCTCATTTACTTCAGCTCTCCCCTTTGAAAAGGCAAGGCCTCTGAAGAAGAGCTGGCTTTCTGGTCCTGTTTGCAATGATAGCAGAGGCTGCCTAGTTAGGCTAGCCTGGTTAGCCTGCCCCCGAAGGTCCTGCGGGGTCTAACTGTGCCTCATTCACACACACACCCCCACACACACACACCCAACACACAACCACACACTCTTCTTTTGCTCCCTCACTACCGCTTTCTCCCTGCCTCTGTAGCTGGGTCTAGGGTGTAATTGACCAGTTCATTAATGAAGTTTCTTCTCCAGGTGTCTGGTTATGTGGCTCGCTCTCTAGCACTTTAGCCAGACATAATAAAATTCACCTTAACAAGACATGACCCAAAGGGAACAAAGCATGAATGTACTCACGACACCGATAACCCCAATATAAGTGATCACCTGAGAAAAGAGAATTAAGGGAGAGAAAAGAGAGCACAAATGATAACTAATAGAGAAATAAAAAGATAGGAGAGAAAAGAAAAAGG